ACTTGATCCGCTTGATCAATTTCGTCTGAAACGCGCGTGAATAATTTGTCATTTGACGTCGCGTACAACGAATTGCGTAACCATACAAATTTTTTTTACCGACGCGACGCCAAATGACAAAGTATTCCATTATTAGCTTGTTCCATTCTGGATAGACTGAATATAAGTGTAAACTGACATCAAATTCATGCAGAAAATGTAGATTTTAGGGCGAATTGTTGTGCAACGTAATAAGAAGAAAATCCTAGAAAATCTTTGTAGAAAACGCGTACTATATAATGAAATTTCTTATTTAATATAGTTTTTTAGTCAAAGATTTGAATGCTAAGCATTTCGGTTTTTTGTGCTGAAATAGCTTTTGCGTCAATGATACATTTGACTTGTTCGAACTGCAATTTCTTCTAAATTTTTGTTTAAAAGCATATTTAAAATGTGCAGATATCACTGTGAGCAGTATTTTTTGAAACCATATTTGATTTGCCCTACGAGCCTGATAATGAAGAACCTAACTTGACCGTTGTGACCGTGCTACGCATGTGAATGATGACTCATGTCCAAATACCAATCATATTACTTGAGACGATCACACCAAGTACATACATGTACAGAGCATACCACTCTATTTCCACTAATGGTCTAAATTATTGACACAGTTGCACTTTAGGTGCGCATCCCGCCCAGCTGAAAGATGATGTGCAAAGCCCTGGAGGTTCATCAGTGTATGGAATGCACAAGCTGGAAAGGGGTGGATTGAAGGTTGGTCTGATTTCGGTTTTATCTTTCCTGGATTTGGAAGTGGCGAGGTTCATGTAGATGGGGATCCATGTATATAAGTTAGACAAACGTGTACGAATTGGCAACCACGCCCTCTCAGGCCTACTCATACAGTTGCGGGGAAAGGCCAGCACAGGAAAAATTTGCTGGATTAGCTGCTTTCAGCGAATTTTTAGGTTTCAAAAAGCGCTAAAAAATGGAGAAAGGTTGAAAGGGAGTTCTACAAGAAATTCAGCCCACCTGGTACCAGCTAAGCCCGTCTAAGAATACCTTCCACAATAATTTAGGCAACTCAGTTCACGTAGTGTAATTGAATTTGCGTGGGAAATTATTTATGGAAATTTTTTCCGCTTTTCGCATGTTCCTGCAAATGATCCGAAATTATCAGTCTACAAAATCAAGTAAGTACATCATCGTTATCGAAAAACGTAATGTGAGTATTTTGAGCATGTACCCTGCATTGTGGAAAGTCAGAAATATTCAAGTTAATTTGGTTCTCTTGAAAACTAATTTGAGTACCAAGTTTGCAAAGTGTTCTCCAAGTTCCACTTCTGTCTCCCCTCCCCTCCCCCTTCCTAACCCCCGAAAATCTCGATTTATAACATAATCTCGATTTCAGGGCCTTCTCATGGATGCTGTCGAAGCTGCTACTAGCCGATCCCGTGCCACTGGCGATAAAGCACTTCCTCGCGATATTAGAAATACAGAGTTGTTTTAGAGATTCATACGATATCTTTTTATACGATATCTTCATGTAGAAAACCCGTTTTACTGTGATATTCAAGTGCCAAGCAATTTTTGTATATAGAAATACCTTTTCACAGGCTTTCTAACCCAACGACATAATCCTACTAAACTCTGACAGAAATAAAGTATTAAATACTCTGCTACATGTTTTAAAATGCGAATTATTGCAGGCAGGAGAG